AAGAAACAATTTACAGAAAAAGCGCGATTGAATAAATGTTGAGAGTGATTTTAGAATCTTTTCTGTCTGTTTCGAAAAGCAACTAGGCATCTTTATGCGAAAAGAAATATGTCCTCATAAATAGAAGGGGTATTTCATAAAACACGTCTCATTGCAAATCTTTAGAGATATATTTTTTCCAATTATGAATGAGATCTTTCATGATAAGAACGTGTCAGAATTTCTAGAAGAAAATGCACAGACGAAGTGAAGTATTAACTAATGGATAGCGGATTTTTATCAAAAATGTTTTATTTCAGAAAGATCTCGTCATGTATGACACGTTTGGATGCGCACCACGTTATTAGGCCCTATAATCGTTGGAACAAAGGATGGGGGTGTGGGTGTGGGGTGTGGGTGTGGGGTGTGGGTGTGGGTGTGGGGTGTGGGTGTGGGTGTGGGTGGGGTGGGTGTGGGAGTGGGAGTGGATGAGTGTGGGTGTGGATGTGATTAAAGAGAAGAATAACACCCATACTCACAACCACACTCACACACCCACCCCCACGCCCATACCCATACCTACACCCACACCCACACCCGCAGAGAAAGGTCTCAATGAGACTAATTTATTTTGAAAGTTTTGGACTTTTGGGTTCCTTCTATCTCGAGATGCAAGTGTAAGAAAAAATACTCTTTTTCACATTACTTATAGTACAAAATGTTAAATGTTCATATTTAAGGATAGGAGCAACCAAGAAATTTGAAACTTTCAGAATAAACTAGTCTCATTTAGACCTTTCTTTGCACAAAGTTTCAAGTCGAAATTCGAAAGTTGATTTTTCGGGTAAGCCTGAGGCGGACCACGACGCTATGCTAAAAAAAGTCGTAGAGATCAAATATCTCGACAATGGTTCAATGGCGCATCTTTGCGCATCCATTGAAGATAGATGATGTCACGTTCTATCAAATGATAAATTAAAACTTGAATTTAAACTCCGGCAAAATTCGACAAATGGACTGCATTATGGATCAGTGACTATTTTTCACTATACTGATGGTAAGATTTTGATCTTATTATAGTCTAAAGAACTTTAAGAAGCCCGAAACGGCCAGTAATATATAGTAAATACGTAACACTGTGTAACTATATAATAAATAAAGAACATAACTAGATCATCAATTAAAAATATAGATTTTACCTATATGGCCCAATTAATGATATTCACCTATTTTACGTACTTTGTAGTGCCTGCTACTTAATGCATACTTGTTATGGAGCAGCATCCAAGATACACTTAAATGCAGGGCCATAGTAGCTTCAATGCTAGCTACGATATGGGTTCGAATCTTGAAAAGGGTGTGGGTGTGAGTGTGGATGCCGGGTGTGGGTGGGTGCGGCTGTGGGTGTGGATGTGGATGCGCGTGGAGCAGTTGACACCCACATCCATACCATTTATTCGCATTCATCACCATAAAATGACAAAATGAAACTGCAATCAACTCCTAGAATAGAGGAGATCCAGTATTATAATTATATGATGATGAATTCGAATAAAGCCATCTGATGCGACACTTAAGCAAGGTCGAAACCGATCATGGCTGCTTATTCCGCTGATACTGATCGAGCAGGTAATGGTAGTAATGAATTATATTTTCCAAGTGACGTGGCATTTGATTCTGGACTCAATCTGTATGTCTCAGATACGTATAATAGTCGTATACAAAAGCTTCAAAGAATCCAATAAGAAAAAAATTAATTTTTGGCTGTTACATTTGTCATGTAATCATTTTCAAAATAAAAACAAATCGAAAATCAACATTAACTGTTGTTTTCAATATTTACTGTTATTTGTCATATGGTGGTCTTCCTGTTACAAACATTTTATTTCAGTTGTTTTTATTAAAACCCCCACAGAATAGAAGCCCACCCTATAATAGAAGCTCACCAGGAACAGAAGCCCAGTCCCAAGGTTATAACTTTACAGACATATTAGAAGCCCACCCTATCCCAAATGAGCACAAAATAGACAGTTTAACAAATTCGATAAATTAGCTCACTGATTCTCGCTGGTTAATTGTAGTTGAGTCGATATGCCCAATTTTCTTTGTGTTGCATATTTTTTTATCAGCAGATAAATGAGCGTTTTTCAAGTATTAAAAAATTTGTACACATATGTGTTAATAAAACATAGCTGTCTAAGAACCATTCAATAGAAATTACGCATGCAATAACACCGTTCTGTTAGGTTTCTTCCTCTTATACGATTATGTACAACATAGAATCGAAATGTTGGAATTTTTTATTGATTTAGCAGCAATATGAACAAATCTTTGATCAAAAGATGAGAATTCTGAGAAAGTTAACCTGTGACCGATACGAATTATGCGAGAACTTATCGGACTTAAAAACAAATGCCAGCGTGGGATGGTACAATATTAATTATTATAACACCTATGAGATCTGACTTACCTATCTCTCAAGAAATGGAAGACCCTTATTGTGTAATCACAGGTTTATTTCATATTTCTGTTGCCATAATTAAAATATATCTCGTTTCGTATCTGAACTCTGCATCAGCTGCCACGATGAAGTCTCATCCGCCAGAACTATATCGATATAGGTCTAATAGAAACCTCTTTTAAATTTCTTCAAAACTTGACATGTCCAAAATCAACATATGATGTTAAACGGAGTTTTCGTATCCGTAGTAAGATCCACCAAATGTTGAGGAAAGGAGCTACCAGGACTTATTCTTTTGGGATTTATATCTTCTGCAGGATATATTATGATTTATCTGTTTAGTAAAGATTTATTAGAATTTATTAGCTGTATCAGTATTTCAGTGCACCTATACTGTGGGTATGCGTGTATGAACTAAGTTGTGTCAATATTCCAGCGCATCCACACTGCAGCTATGTCGCATATACTAAGGGATTGCGTGAGATTTATTTTAAAGTGCATAGGGATTTATTAAAAAATTCTAATAAATCCCAAAAAAAACAATAAGTTCCGGCAGCTGCTGGCTGAGGATAGATGAGTGTGTGAATGTGACACATTGTATAAATAACGTACTATTTTATTGATTTAATAATATGCAACCAAAAAAGAATTGTTAACCAGGTGTTGGTTTCTAAGAAGCTATAATAGCTACTCTGGAAGTTGTCAGACAAGTTGATAATTTCGTTTTGTAATTTTTCAAGACCTTTTGTGCCTGTAAGATAATTAAATCTTATTTGCAACGTGAAAAAAGTTGATCACAGTAGAAGCCCATATCCAAACTTCTAATTTTCAAAACAAATTAGAAGCCCAGTGGACTTCTATTCTGTACGGGGGTAATCTAGTTCTAGAAGTTCATTTCTTCCAAAGCTATTGCTTCAAATGAACAACACTCCAAAAGGGTGACACTTTTTCATATGCATATTGGAGATATGTTTCAGCCTAAAATATCGTCATATAAGAGACGATGAATAGCATTTAAGAAGTCATTTTTGAAAAATACACCCATATTCCAATTGTTGTCTCTAGATAAAGCGAAGACGCTATTATTTCTTTCAAAATCTTCATAAACACACTCTTTACATTTAGAAGAAAAAGCACAGACACGTGCGTAACGATTTATAAACTAAAGCAGTATGATTGCGAGCCTTTTGTATTCGCTTCAACTAAAAAAGTCGTTGCTCCCCCGTCGCTATTCTTTCGTTCGTAGTAAAAAAAAAAACACAACGACTGTGAGAGTGAATAAGTACTATGTCTCCTGCCTCTAATATTTACTCACCTTTATAACACTACGTATTGCATACATTTTTTATCATACTGAATATAAACGCACACCTTCTTTCATATATCTCAGTAAAGACATAAAAATAAGTCCAAACGAAAATGAGTTCTACAACTGGTGAATGTTTATGTGGACAAATTAAAGTTTCTATTGCTAAGGAAGCACTCGATGGAGATGGCAAGATTGCTTTATGTCACTGCAAGAACTGTCGTCAATCTACCGGCTCTATGGCGTCAACCAATATTATTGTTCCGGAATCGGCTGTGAGAATCACCGGGCAACCAAAAATATATCAAGATAGTAAAACCAATAGTGGAAAGACAGTTCAACGTGCTTTTTGTGGTAACTGTGGCAGTCCAATTTATTCATCTACACCGAGTATACCTGATGCCTTGGTCGTCAAAATGGGATTATTTGATGATATTCCTAAACCATCAATGGAAGTCTATTGTAAATCAAGACTATCTTGGAACAAACCTATTGATGGTGCAAAACAGTTTGATACAATGCCAACACAATAATTATAATATTCGGATTTGATTAATAACTTTTCGTAAATTTTTTTTTTCGTAGTTAGTTTTGATTCGAAATTTTTTCTTTCTATAAAGTCTGTTTTTCTATTATGAAGACACGAACTATGCTATAATATATATCAGTAAATGAATGACTTAATATTGCAATATAAAACTTTTTATTTTATTTTAACAGTAGCGAAGATTTTTTGTAATTGATAATGTCAGCAAAGAAAGACTATCGAAAATGACAGTATTCACTTTTGCAGAAAAACTGCAAAAGTAAATTCTGTATAGACTATCTTTATGATGGAATTAACTGACATTGTGCAATTACATTAGCACTATTACATAGTGACATATATACACAACCATTGAATGTTTTTCGTTCTTCGTATAGTATACATATAGTATGTTTATAACTAGTGAACTATTGTTTTTACTATACGAAGACATCATCATACATTCTTTTCTCTTTATCTTCCATCTATATGAGAGAGATCGAAAATAATCCTTTACTTAGTATCGAAATACGTCCATAATGCTGTCATAGTTATTTTGAAATATAATATATATAAGTAAATGAACGACTTAATATTGAAATATAAAACTTTTTATTTTAAGAGCAGCGAAGATTTTTCGTAATTGATAATGTCAGCAAAGAAAGACTATCGAAAATGACAGAATTTACTTTTGCAACGTTTTTTCGATCTATCACTTATAGACGGAAGAACGTAGGATATCTTGGGCCTGGATTCGAGTATTCCGCAACTGGATTCGCTGACAGTTGGGACCAAAAACCAAACTCTGTGAACCAAGATAGAGCTCAATGAGCTCTATCGAATGCACTATTTACTTTTTCTCTAAAACCATTCCAAGAGGAAGAAAAACTTAAAATACTGTAAAAAAATAAGCAAAAAATCAGATTTTTTTCGTAAAGTGCACCGGGATTCGCTCCCAGTTGGAATCAAAAGCTGAAAATGACATAGATCGATAGAACTCGACGAGCTCTATCCAATGAGTATCTTTTCAAGTATTTTCTGTGCTTTCATTCGCCGTTCGAATCCCAACTGTTGCAGAAAACCTGGTTTTTGTCCTGAATACCGCACCGGGATTCGCCTCCAGTTGGGACCAAAAGCTCAAAATAACGTAGAGGGTGTGGGTGTGAGTGTGGCACTTCATTAAGTGAACACTCGTATCCACACCCACATTCATCCTCAAGCTCAAGATGGAAGTTTAAGTACTTCGAAAACATCATTGATACAAAGGAAAGAGTACACACTGCATATACCCTATATTTCAAACAGTTTTGCTTCATCAGGTTCTGCAAATCATTTAACGATCTTGTAGAATTCTTCAACGTACCATGAAAACACGTCGTCTGATAGCACGAAATATCAACCGAAAACGTCAATTGAAGCATTGCAAGGTAGACGTGTGCAAAGAAGAAGAAAAAAAGAGAACAGAGCGAATGTATGAGAGAAGAGAGAACTCGAGATTTTTCTCTTTCTCGCTGATCTCGACTCGACTAACTAGTCCACATACAAAATGAACGCACACCCAACGAATAGAATCATTATCCACGAACTACAAACATGATCAGTTTCAAATCACACGATACCGATAAATCTTTTGTCGAGTAGATATCGATGCTATTCAGATTAAAATCTGTCTCGATATAATGTATAATGCGCTTGGCTAGCCAAACCTATAAAGAAGTGCGTTTCCTGGTCTTTGTATATGATAACAAGCACATATTCAAACTAGATTCTAAACACATTCCAATCGTATGTATCCAGGATCCGCCAGTTTTCCCTTGAATCTCGAATATTTTTTCAACTAAATTCATAACCAGACACTGGCTTCGAACAGCATGGACATTACACACACTCACATGCTTCAACTATTGCCTCATCTCTGTGATCTTGAGGAATGAGTCCCTCTAAAGCGTATTTATGAAAATATCTACCGAAAAACGTCGTTCGATTTTGTGTAAAAAACAGACACTTCGAGCTATTTATCTTGTTTTTTTCTTCTTAAACTGGCAACGATAATCGATGATTGGAATTAAATCAACAGTCTTATTTACTTAATGTGCCAATAGGAAGAAAAAAGTGACGTTCCTACATACACGTGTGTATGTCAGCATCATTACGAAAAATACGTCCATGTCACCATACGTCATTGGTATTTCGCAACGAACGGGGTTGTGAGAATGCAAAACATTACTTGACTCACATCCTGAATTAAAATGGTATATAAGGACAACACAATTGAAGATTGAAGAGGCATAGTTGCTTTCAAACAAACTCAAATAAATTAGTCGATATGGATCAATCAAACGATAATTTCAGCACAAACTCTATTCAAATCGATTATACCACAACAACGCCGCGCTTTTCGGTAACCAGCGAGAAGACATTGGATGATGGTCTTGCCTATTTGAATGAAAACGGCTATGCTGTCATCAGTGATGTCATGAATCAGGATGATATCGATGCGAACAAGCAACGTCTGTGGACATTTCTTGAGAATGCCTCCAATGGTGTCATCCGACGTGATGATCCAGAAACATGGTCGAATCAATGGTAAACGCGTTTTGCTCATCATTTGTCGAGGAAAAACAATAGTCATGATTTTTTTTACTAGGCCAAGCTTCAGTACCCATGGTGTTATTAGCGGACACGGTATTGGTCAATCGGATTTTTTGTGGAATGTTCGATCGAATGAACAGGTCAAACAAGTCTTTGCACGTATATGGAATACTCGACAATTGCTTGTCTCGTTTGATGGATGCGGCGTCTTTCGTGATTGGCGTTACAATCCAACATGGAAAACAAATGGCGGCTGGAATCATGTGGATCAAAATCCGAAGATAAAACCGCATCGATGTTGTATTCAAGGTTTCGTTTCATTGACTGATCAAAATGAAAAAACAGGCGGTCTCATCGTTTATCCACGTTCACATTTGTATTTTACTGAATTATCTGACGTTACCAAAACTTCGGATGATTTTGTCAAGATACCTTCTGATCATTCAATTTTTAATCATGATCAAGTCATCGGCAAACTCGTTCATTGTCGAGCAGGTGATCTTGTTCTTTGGGATAGTCGTCTGATCCATTGCAATTCTCCGGCTACTACAATCGAAGAACGACAGAATGATCAACCAATCGATCTGCTTCGTATTGTAGCTTATGTGAATATGAGTCCGACAATATTCGTACATGGCCAAACACTCGATGAATTTCGAGAAAAACGAAAAGAAATGGTTCAAAATAATTGTACTTTGACACATTGGAGTACGGAACTCGTTGTATCCCGTAAGTTTTCGAGATGAAAACATTTTTTCAAATATTGATCGTTACAAATGATGTTTAGGAGGTCTCAATGTTGATTTGCCGAAGTTGTCCTTGGATAAGTTCAATGAGTATCAAAAGGCTCTCGTTTTTGGCAACAATGATAAGTACGATGAACAGGTATAATTTTTATTTTATTTCGTTCAATTGTGTGTGTGATTTTTTCTTTAATATAATAAATCAGAGAATTTTACATCTTAAAGAGAGACCCCTCCCCCTTTCCGGGGTTTCTCGAGAACGACTTAATGGAAAATTCTGAATTTTTCACAGCAGACATATCTTGGGTAGTAGTGCAAAAGTTGTCATAGACTCAATATTCCAGGATGCCTCTTAGGAGATATTTGAGTCACAAGGGCTAAAAATGATCTTTTATATTGACCCTCCTACCATTTTTCCTTAACTCATCCGATCGAGCTGAAACTTTTTCTGTGGCAACTAAGATCTAAATGGGTTGCCTATTTTTTCCTTTTCGAAAAAATGTATTCTTCGAATAGGAGAATCAAAATACCGAGATCATCTTCAAAAGGCTTGATTTTTGCGATTTTTTAATTTAGGACAATTTTGTAAATCTATTAAAATTCAGCAAAGCATTATTTTTTGACAAGGTGAAAAACAGGCAACCAGATTTAGTCCTAGTTGTTCCAAAAAAATTTCAGCTCAATCGGACGCAAATTGTAGGAGAAAAGGTGGAATACGTCAAAATTTGCTCGAAATTGATGATTATGTGAAAAATAAATTTTTTTAGATATTTAAACGGAGACTTTTAATTCTCTAGATGTGTCAAATAGAAGGAAGGTACTTCGAACTATATACTGATCACAAAAAATCAAAAACGAAAAATAAAAATTTTGGGAGTCCTCCACGATCATTTTTGCAAAAACTCGAATGTGCCATTTCGCATCTGACGCATTGATTCATATCGTTTAGTTCCCGTAGTAAACATCATTCTGTTCGAATTTTTAGCTTTGCTTATTATTCTGTTCTTAAATATATGCATACTATGAGAAGGCACATTTCATCCGAGGAAAAGCTAAACGTAATGAGTACAATAATTCTTCAAGATACTTTGACTGTTGACATTGATATTTGAGATACTATTCAGAATAATCTACGATTAAACAATGATGTATTACCACTCATACTTGCAAAGTTTCGATCAATTATACCAAACGCCAATGAAGTTCTTGAAGCTGATTTGAAGAAGGAAATTCAAAGGAAAATATGTCAATTTGCATTACTCCTTTCTTCTACTTCTGTTTTTGTCTACCGTGGATTGGAAAAAGAAAATATTAATAACAACTATTTACAAGACTAAGCTGCTATAGCCCAAAGAGAAAGGGAAAAACTCATCAAAAAAATATTGTTTCGGAGTTGGTCACCAACATCTGACATCAGATTTAAGACTTCTTTCCATAATTAATTGGGTAGCTTACTCAATTAAACCGAAAAGTATTTTTTTGTGCATGATTTCAACATAATATAGGCAGTCTGACATGTCAATAAGCTTTGGTGCATTTTATTGAAAAATACCTCAGCAGAATGAATATTAAACCAATCTGTAGAAATCAGTGTTTAATAGTAAGTATATGTGGCTATTTTCTTTCTCGTTCTGTTCGTTTATCCTATCAATATATAAAAATAAAAGACATCAAAGAAAAAGGAATATATTCACAAACGGAGAAATGGCAGAAAAGAAAAAAAAGGCGCTACTGTCAACGTAAACTAGTTTTTCATTCTTTTCTAAAAAACTAAGAGCTGTCCAGGAAAGGGGGTAGCATATTTGAAATCCTTATAAAATTCTGAATCAAATGATGTATGCTGTTTTCTTGTAAACCATCTCCAAGAAAATCGACTCGATTTGCTATGTAATTCAATGAAAAATTATTTCTAAAGAAAATCTTTTTTTCTGAATAAAAGATCGAATTTTCTTTTCTTTAGTGATTTGAATAAATTAGGATTCGATCTTGTTTATTGTTTATCAATTTGAAAAACTCTCTTAACAAAATATTTCTCTCAGTTTGATATTTGTTTAATAATGCCATTAATAATAAAAATTAGAAAACATTTTTGCCAAATAATTCAAATTTGATTTCCATGATATTTTCACTAAAGACCAATTGAAATGAAATGAAAAATCAATTCATTTGTTATTCAAAAGTCAATGAAAAAGAATTATAAAATCCAAATTGAAGTTGAATAAGAAAGGAAATAACGTTTGAAATTCTTTCAGCTTATTATTGGTTTTATTGGAAGGAAAATAGTTTGCAAGAAGACAATCGATTTATTTTAAGTGACATTTTTCTCATAACAAATTTTTCTTCTTTTAAACAATTTCAAAATCAAATAAGATTTTTCTTTAAAAGAAAGAAGTTTATTTCTTATTCAATTATTTATTGAAACACAAACTATTGGGTCAATTGTTTTTTCAACTCAGTTTTAGAATAATTGATGTGTAACAGAAAATTTGTTTTTACGTGGAACTTGATTGAAAACATATTTTTCCAATATTGTCTTGATGAATTAATCTCTTGGTCAAATATATTTTTAGTCGATTATAAGTGATCAATTGTGTTGAATATATCTGTTAGAGGATGTAATCGAGATTATCATATATGTAGATCGGTTAAACCAGTTTCTATTTGAAATGTTAATTATATGAATATATCTGAGGAAAAAAACAAACCGTCAAGAAACTTGTAACCAATATTTATCTGTTCACTCGATTTATACATCGATCAAATTTCGTTTTCAGTTAAAACGTTGATATCACAATGGGCTAATCTTTGTTCTAGCATCAACTTGCGTTGGTTAATGAAAAAAAAGACTTTGACTCTGGCGAAAGACGCTATGAAGTATTCGTTACTGAAATCATGAAAGTTGTCATGTGTCGTTATTGAATAAAAGGATACGTATTTACGTTATGCGTTTGCTATTACCCAAGTTAAGTACATCTTCTCAATATATCAGCTAAATGCTTTTTTTTCAGAGCTCACCTTTGTGGTTAATTAGTATCGTCTAATAATTCTATTGTGAATTTCACCTGATCAAGCACATTATATCAATCGATTAGTACTTAGCTAACATTTATTTGTTCTTTATTTATTCTTACTATTGCTGCTTCACATGCACATCTTTACTAAGAAAGTTTGTTCTTCCGTTTCGCTAATCTGTTTCAGATAAATTGATTGTTTACTTAATAAAAAAAAACAAAATTACAGATAAAAACATCATTTCAATGTGGGATCAAGAACTGTTATGTTTGTTAAACGTGATCGTTCTTTTACGGACGAGAATTTCAATATTATTCCATAAAGATCTCTAGCTTATGCTGAAAGCGATTGTTTCTTATACAAATTTGCTTATTCTTTGCACGTTGCTCAATGGTTTAAATATTGAATTAAAATCTTTGATTTCCAGTTCGACTATTTCTCTTTTTTTATTTGATGTGAGATAAAATCTTCTTTAGAATAGAATAGACCATTTTTCGATCATTAGAGACAATAAATTTCTGCCTGTTTCAATTTGTACTACCATAGACGTCATTAAAAATAAGTAGAGAGTATGATTGCACGTTCGATTTGTAGGATGGATGCTTTGGCGAGAATCGAACTCGCAACGTTTTTGTCTGCAGCAAAACAATCTACCATTGATTTACAAAGCGAAGTAATCGAAACGCCATAGTCTACTCTTTTCACCTCATTTATAAAATGTGTACTTTCAGGTTAATACGTACGAATGTTGTGCAATCAGATTTCGCGTTCTTTGCTTTGCTTCTTACATTTTCTCTCGAGAGTTTCAATGTAAATTGAATTGCATCAGTTTTCTTCAGAATATATGCTTCAAATAACATGAATATTTATTCTGTAGCAATTATTATTTTGTCTTTTCATTTCAGAACTTTTAAGATATTTTATATGAAATCAAAACAACAAAAAAAAATATATGAATGGTACTTTCCATTCCGAAAAGATAATTTGGAGGCTCGATTAAGATAATAAATAGATCATGTATGCTAGAATATATTGTGTTATGTATGATAAAATTGGATAAAAATTGATACAACGGGCAAGAAGTTCACTCTATTGACAAAAGATCGAGCGGTTCATATGAAAAGCTTATTTCAATGGCTCTCCTACTGATTGTCGAGGTTCAGCGTCGGCACTATTTTTGATCATTTGCTTTTCTTTTCTTGATGCTTTGAACAAGGCGTACAATCCAGCAAGGCCAATGATCACAACACCTGCTTTTACATATTTCCGATTGATTTGTTCAGGAATTTGAGGTGGCTTTATCGTGTTAGAAGTTGTTGTAGTGACGTTTACCCGTGATGCGCGGATGAACGATGGAAAACGAGAAAATAAGCGGAGGTTTGTTGGTAAAAGAGACATCGATCGTTTCTTTTCGAATTATAATGAGCACGTGTGGTATATAGTTGCAAGTAGAATATTTGTTATGAGGTGTGCGCTATGCAATATACGTCCTTCTCCTTCTTCTTTTTTCATATACTACAAGTTAGACGCCTTTTTTCTTCTCTTCTTCGATATATTGTACGTCGATACACGTACACATGTCACGTGTACGTACACGTGCTTCACTTTAATCATCGAAAGTGGATAATTAGGAATCAATTAAGTCGTTATTTATTATAAATAGTAATTATGAATGTAATTAAAAATCAGCAATCAAATCAGAATGGGAGAAATGTGACAAACAACGTAATTGTTAAGTTCTTCTTTGCATTTCGGCCTTCGAGTTCGTTTAAGAAGAACATAATCTTGTATTTTTGTTTATTTCAAATCAACTGACTATAACATCACAAACACGCACATAAATATCACCAAAGAGAAGAAAGAGAAGAAAATAAAGACAGCACGACAGAAATAGAGAGAAGATAAGGGGGAAAAAGCGGATTTGGGATTTTACAGATTCTAAAATCCAAAAAAGGTTTTTATTTTTATTTTTTGGGGTTTGTCAGGATTTT